ATTCCATTCAAGTATAAGGGCTTATGCTTTTGCTTATGATCAAAATGAAAGAGAAATGAAACAAAAACTGCAGCCCTCAGTGAGAAGCATAACAATTGCACAGGAACCAACAATCCACCCCAAACTATATCCCACTGAGTTTAATAGCACTTAGTCACAGATACATAACATATTGCACATTGCATAGTTCATATTATCTGTCACAAGTAGTGATGTTTTTATAGTACAGGAAAGTCAAGTAGATGATGATGATGATGATGATGATGATGATGATGATGATGATGATGATGATGGTTTAAAGACACAAATAACAAAATAAAGGAAAGGAAGACCTTTATACTTAGGTGTGATGAAGAAGAGGACCTCCATATTTTCCATTATTTGAGGTATTGTTATTTGAATTTTGAGATTTTGAAACAAAGATCCAGCACTAATGGTCTGAAAACATTGCGTTTTTCTTGTTATTGCTGGACTTGATATTGGCAGACTTCAAATCATTGCCTGGTTGTCTTAATAACATGCACAACACATAAACACAAATAGATAGTTGGAGGCAACCAAATCAGGAGTTCAGCATGGGGGAGGATTTAATTATTTGTCTCCACTATAATTCTGATCCAAAATATGCTACACTAGTCCAGTTGACTGAAGTAGGAAGAAAGTTCTCAATATTGTAGTTATTAGCACAATTTTGATCATTACAACATCACTGCCAGCTATTGTTTTTAGCATTCTATGGTTGACAATGTTAGTTCATTGTCATGATTTAATTCAATGCTGCTTAGTTACCATGAACACTCCATTAAAAATCATACCTACCTTATCAGTCAATCCATTAATCTGTTAATCTATCAGTATTTTAATAAGTAACATCTCATCCCTAAGGAGCTATCAAAGAATTCCTATTCAGTTCCATTAGTGATTCTCTTCAATTTCCCTGTCTCTGCATCTGACATTCTCCACAGTCAGAGCTGAGTTACAATTGCTTTTTTCTTCTTTTTACCCTTTCACTTTGAAAAAGGTCTGAAATGTTTATCTTTCTCCTCCTCATCGCCCCCAAAAGAAGACCACTTAAGGCTCTCTTTTTACTCTCTATCATCTTTTTCTGATGGATTCTAGTTTTTCCCTACAATATCCGAGAATGACACTTTGTTTGTAGCTCTGTGGAGAATGGAAATGCTTCTTTTCTATTGTTACACTGGCAACAAGGGAAAAAAATAGAGGGGAAACAATTGATTTACTACCATTTTAAATGATGAACCCCACTCCCAAGAAACAGCTGGAGAATTTCTTCTCTTCCTTTAAAAAAGAAAAAACCTAATGCAAACATCTACTGTACTCCCTCCCTTCATTTTCTGCCCAAAAAGAGAGTGTACAATTTGGTGAGTCCATTTGTGTTCTATTCAAGTGTAATTTCATGCCATAGAAGTGTCACCATATGAATGAGCAATTACTACAGCATAACCCAACCTGGGAACCACCAGATGTGTTAGAATCATAAATCCTAGCTGGAATTACTAACCTTAACTTACCCACCTTAACTTTCCCAGCACATCTGGAGGCTGCCAGGTTGGGGGTAGGTTACATTAATAGAAGTTTTGACTCTACCCATATGGAACCTCATTGTGACATGGTTTTGACAGTACTTGTGTTGAAATGCTATTTTTTTGTACTACAGTGATCCCTGGAAGAATCAACGTACACAACTGGAACAAGCTGTAGTAATCATCCTCATCCTGGCCTTCACTCATCAACTCCATCTTCATCTTCATGGTCATCCTCATCTTCAGTTTCTTACATGCATTCTGTATAAGGTAGTCCTCCTTGATCCTATATATGCCAGTCGGGTTTCTTCAAGATCACAGTTTTCGCCAACTTGAGTCATGGTCTAATAGTTCTGCCAGGCTTTGTATAGGGATCAGTGTAGATTTTACAAACATGCTCAGCTTATGGTTAAAATATGCCACCCAGAGTCATTGTGTAAAAATAGGATAGGATTGGATAGGATAGGATAGGATAGGATAGGATAGGACAGGACAGGACAGGACAGGACAGGACAGGACAGGACAGGACAGGACAGAATAGAATACCCAGGGTGGTGGCCGTGTTCCCATGAAGCACAACATCTAATAATACCTACTTATTCTAATGTTCAAGAGAAAGCTGAGTCTTTTCATTCAGTTCAAAGCTTTTTAAATAACAAAAACAAAGGCGGCCAGGGTCCCAAACATTCTGTATAGGCAGAAAACCTCAAGAAACCCAGCTACGGTTGCAGGTTCTCCACATTACACCAAAAGTGTCCTATGTTTTCTCATACCCATAGAATCCAAAATTCCCTCATCCCTCCAACCACAGCCTCCAGATAGACTTTGGAACTGATGCAGGTAATTTCCTTCCATCGGTTTTAAGGCCCAATAAACTGTCAGAGGTTTAGACAAATAGTTGCTCTGTTATATTATTTTCATCATGCAATAAACATGTTGCTTTATTGGACAAAATCGTCTTCCAGTAATTTCCAGGATTTCTCACTGGTGGGTGAAGTAATCCCTCGTTCTGCGTGATTTGTGTGGGGGATCAGCCAAGAATTTCAATGATGGATCAGCTGCAGAGGCTTCACCTGAAGCTCACTAAAATTTAGCAGTAATATATCTGTAAAAAGAATGGTATGTGTCAGTAAGGAGGTACATTAGGAACAAATTGAAGGAGCAACTACTAAATCAGACCTGGGAACCAATCTTCTTTCTTTCTTTCTTTCTTTCTTTCTTTCTTTCTTTCTTTCTTTCTTTCTTTCTTTCTTTCTT